TAAAATAATCCATCCACACTTCTCCTTTGTTAAAATAATCCATCCACCTCACAGGTGCAGCACATCAAGATGCTGATTAGAGAGCAGGATTATTGCACAGGTGTGCCTTAGGCTGACCACAACAAAAGGCCAAACAAAAAATAATCTGGTGAGGTAGTAGTTGAGACTGGTTGTGTGAAATCGGAGTTTATCAACTTTTGAAATTAACTCTGTGTGTCTGTTAGCAAAATATCCTACAAGCCACCAGATAAATTATAATTAAACCATCAGGAAGTAATTGCTGGATGTCTGTCTATAACTACTGATGTTTTCAAATCAATTCAAGATGGCTTCATCAGCCAACTAACACAAAACTGGCTAAAATTCAGCTAGTTTTACAAATTCTGAGCTAAAATTTGTTGTGGTAGTAGCTAACAGTCATTAACACATACTCCTCGCACTAAAGCACAGTGTAAGATCACATGTAAGACCCAACTGGTTTTAGCTGCATTCATGCTGAAATTTAGCTGATTTAAGCCACCTGCAGCCTCTCAGAGCTGCCAGCAGGGGGCAGTGTTAGCTCGTGTTTGTGATTCCAGCTGTCTGGAGGTTTGTCTCAGTTTGTGATGCTGGAGTTCTGCAGCGTGTCGTTTAAGCTGCTGAGCAGAGAGGAACTGTTCGTCTGTCAGCAGCCGATGGTTCAGTTCTCCTTCGGCTCCTTTCTGTTTATATCTGTTCGTCTTTCTCTCTCTGCTCGACCCTCGTAGACGCCAACACTGATGGAGTCATCCAGAGCGGGTCAGAACATCTGCACCTTTTAAATCTACAAGCCGGAGAGAAGAGTGGAGTCGGTCTCACAGAGTTTTAACTCCACCATCAAGAACCAAGTCCAACTGAAGGAGGTCTTCCTGTTTCCCCACCTCCAGTTTCCAGAGAAAAGTTGATGCACCTGAACGCACCACGAAGAGAACATCCAACTCTGATTAAAAAATAAAACAACAAAGACAAAAAGATGCTTACTGAGCTCAGTAAAGTCCAAACTAGAACAAAAAGAAGATTTCCCTGAAGCCACATCATTATCGCCCGCCGGCTAAGATGGGCAATAATGTTGTCTGTGTGTTGTCAACAAAATATCTCATGAAACAAAGGGTTTTATTAGAGGTCAACTGACCTTAAAAAAACAATTCTGACAGACACTGAACTAAATCTGGAGTGGTAGTAGCTGAGAGTCAACCTCTGAACTCTGAACAAACTGCCGGAGAGCTTTAAAACTTTTACATCATCTACTGAAAATAAGCCAGCCTGTTAGCAAAATATTTTTGCTAAATATAGCCAGCGTTTTGTAACTTTTAGCCATCCTTTTCTTTAGCCAGCATTTTGCTACATTTGAACAGCATTTAGCTACTTTCGATAAGCTCTACAAACCGGACCTTTAACCAGTTTTTGCTACTTTTGAACAGTGTTTAGGTATTTTTGAGCAGCACTTAGCTACCTTTAGCCAGTTTTAGCTACTTTTGAACATCCTGATGCATGCTCAATAATCCAGGTAGAAAAATCTAAAAAAGTTAAGTCTGGTCCTCTGGACATTAAAAAGTCAGCGGGCACTGGAAAGCAAGATCCTTGAGAAGGCACAGACCCAGCTGCTGAATGAACGGGTGAGACAGAGCAATTTTACTAAAAGAAAGATAATTTGAATTTCCAGAGGACCAGACTTAACTTTTTTAGATACTTCTGAACAACATTTAGCTACCTTTAGCCAGTTTTTGCTACTTTTGAACATTTAGCTACATTTAGCCAGCCTTTTGCTACTTTTAAACAGCATTTAGCTACTTTTAAACAGCATTTAGCTACTTTTGATCAGCTCTACAGGCCAAACCTTTAGCCAGTTTTGCTACTTTTGAACAGCATTTAGCTATATTTAGACAGTCTTTTGCTACTTTTGAACAGTGTTTAGCTACTTTTGAACAGAATTTAGCTACTTTTGATCAGCATTTCACTACCTTTAGCCAATATTTTGCCAGCCTTTTGCTACTTTTGATCAGCATTTAGCTACCTTTAGCCAGCCTTTTGCTACTTTTGATCAGCATTTAGCTACCTTTAGCTAGCATTTAGCTTCTTTTAGCCAATGTTTTGGTACTTTTAGCCAGTGGTTTTGTTTACTCTTTAAGTAAGCTTTTTACTATTTTTTTTTTATGTTTAGCAACTTTTATACCTTTTATAGTTATTAGCCAACATTGTGCTCCTTTGAGTTTTTGCTCCCGTTAGCCAGCTTTATTAACTCAGCTTTAGCTTCTTCAGCACTCCTTTAGCTGTCAGCACACTGCAGTATTAACTCAGAGTTGTAGCGTCTGCTTGTTTATACTCCACACCCCCACCTCTGTTTTCGCCTTGGTTGGATGTGATGTAGAAAGTTCAGCTGTTTTTTAGTTTTTCACCTGCTGGTGTATAAATTTGCTCTGCTCTCTATTTAAATGTTCAGCTCAGCTCAGAGGAGCTCTGCAGCTTTATTCGGCTGCTCTCCTGTCATGGATTGCTCACGCTGCTTTGGGAACATGTTTTTGCATTTCAAGTCTTCACCTTCACCCAAACTTGGCGTGTTATTACCGTTATCAGAACCCTCCAGCTCCACACTACCTGTTTGTAGTGTGTGGATCAGTGAGAGCCCGGCCCGTAATAAACCTGTTTATTTCCAAGTCATCCCTGAGCTACAGCAGGATTCTCCTCTCTGCTGAGCCGACATTCGGCTGCTGTGCGTCTCTAAAGGCACTTTCTTTTTAAGAACC